CCCCATTTGCAATTCTTGAAATTGTTCGTGTGGGCTTAAAATCAGTGGGGATTTGTAACTCATCAATCTCGGTGTTGGAAAGCGATCTGTAATTTGATTATATATTTATATAATCCATCCCGAACTGGGTCAAAAGACTCGGACATTTTCGAAAACATTTTATCATTTCAATATGGAATCACGTGTCTAAGATCGAGATACCTTTGACTCCTTCTTATTTCGGAGAGTTGCTTCGGCTACTCTTGTAATATGGGGAGCACTACAGACATATGGAAATCAACATACAGAGTATGGGAAACCGTGAACTATCACACAACTAAGCATAAATCGTTTCGACTAAAAAGTCTCCAACAGCACATACATAAACTAAGCTGATGGAACTCAACACAATTATGTGATGTAAGTAAACAGAAGATAATAGTAAACAGGAAGTCATTGTAAACAAGAAGTAATAGTAAACAGGAAGTAATAGTAAACATAAAACAATGGAAAATAGGAAATAATAGTAAATATGAAATAATAGTAAATATTAAATAATAGTAAATATGAAGTAATAGTAAACAGAAAGTAATAGTAAACAGGAAATCATGTTAAATTCTACTGTTTTTATCTACTATAAAATAGATTCAAAAAATAATGAAGATAATTTTTACAGAATTTAATAGTCTGGAGTTTTCTTATCAAATATTGTGGTCACTAAACATGGTGTGCACCACTTAGAGGGAACACTAAACATGGTGTGCACCACTAAGATGGGTCACTAAACCTGGTGTGCAGCACTTAGAGGGGTCATTAAACCTGGTGTGGACCATTTAGAGGGGTCATTAAACCTGGTTTGCACCACTTAGAGGGAACACTAAACATGGTGTGCACCACTAAGAGGGGTCACTAAACCTGGTGTGCAGCACTTAGAGGGGTCATTAAACCTGGTGTGGACCATTTAGAGGGGTCATTAAACCTGGTGTGCACCACTAAGAGGGGTCACTAAACCTGGTGTGCACCACTTAGAGGGGTCATTAAACCTGGTGTAGACCATTTAGAGGGGTCATTAAACCTGGTGTGCACCACTTAGAGGAGTCACTAAACCTGGTGTGCACCACTTAGAGGGGTCACTAAACCTGGTGTGCAGCACTTAGAGGGGTCATTAAACCTGGTGTGGACCATATCAGGGGTCATTAAACATGGTGTGCACCTTTTAGAGGGGTCATTAAACCTGGTGTGCACCACTTAGAGGAGTCACTAAACCTGGTGTGCACCACTTAGAGGGGTCACTAAACCTGGTGTGCACCACTTAGAGGGGTCACTAAACCTGGTGTGCACCACTTAGAGGGGTCACTAAACCTGGTGTGCACCACTTAGAGGGGTCACTAAACCTGGTGTGCACCACTTAGAGGGGTCACTAAACCTGGTGTGCACCACTTAGAGGGGTCATTAAACCTGGTGTGCACCACTTAGAGGAGTCACTAAACCTGGTGTGCACCACTTAGAGGGGTCACTAAACCTGGTGTGCACCACTTAGAGGGGTCACTAAACCTGGTGTGCACCACTTAGAGGGGTCACTAAACCTGGTGTGCACCACTTAGAGGGGTCACTAAACCTGGTGTGCACCACTTAGAGGGGTCACTAAACCTGGTGTGCACCACTTAGAGGGGTCACTAAACCTGGTGTGCACCACTTAGAGGGGTCATTAAACCTGGTGTGCACCACTTAGAGGAGTCACTAAACCTGGTGTGCACCACTTAGAGGGGTCACTAAACCTGGTGTGCAGCACTTAGAGGGGTCATTAAACCTGGTGTGGACCATATCAGGGGTCATTAAACATGGTGTGCACCTTTTAGAGGGGTCATTAAACCTGGTGTGCACCACTTAGAGGAGTCACTAAACCTGGTGTGCACCACCTAGAGGGGTCACTAAACCTGGTGTGCACCACTTAGAGGGGTCATCTAACCTGGTGTGCACCACTTAGAGGGGTCATCTAACCTGGTGTGCACCACTTAGAGGGGTCACTAAACCTGGTGTGCACCACTTAGAGGGGTCACTAAACCTGGTGTGCACCACTTAGAGGAGTCACTAATCCTGGTGTGCACCACTTAGAGGGGTCATTAAACCTGGTGTGCACCACTTAGGAGAAGAATGTATATTCAAGGTTATAAAATAAAATATCTCAACGTTTCATTGGCCAAACGAGTTGATAGTAAATGTTGGATTAGTTTTCCAGAAATAAATTTGACAATAAAATACGGCTTTAATTTTTTATCAGTCAAAGAAATATTATCATTTAAATCTAGCTGTACCCAAATACATGGTATTATTATGCTTTATGTAGGATGTCTAGTATACGAATGTTTGTGAAATGTCATTTTTAGCTTAGTAACTAAACCAGATATAAAAACAAGGATGTTGAGAAGGGAACAATGTTGAAGATAACTCTGCATTTCCATTGCGCTCTGTAAGGTACAGCCTTTATTCAAATCACCTACACTTTTTATAGTTAACCTCTCATTAGTTCCTTTTCTCTTCCTATCCTTCACTATTTCATCTTGCTCTCCTCCATTGTGTTCTCTTCCTCTCCTCCTCTCTTTTCTCTTCCTCTTGTACACGTTTTACTTCCACTTGACTCCATATATCTGCAGTCATTTTGAAAAGCCTATTTCGAAACATCTTTTTTTTTTAAATCACATTGTGTGCGCTTTTTTCCCTACGTTGTCTTATATTTTCTTATATTTTTAATGGTATTACCTCTGAACTTTCTTTGTGTATGTGCGCGTATGGTTTTTGTACTGCCTAATAGTGCCTCCATACCTCTCTGGAATCACATAAAAAAAATTCGTATAACTGACTAATTTGACGGTATAGACCATACCCAAATGTATTATGTATTCAAATACGCCCAAATTTATTATGCATTCAAATACGTTTCTATAATGTGATAGTAGTTTACTGCATGCACCAATAAAAGAAAACGCTGAAGGAACACTTTATCTAAGAATTGGCATTGACGGTCAGTCAGTTTCATAAGCTGCAGTTTCAATGAAATACTTAGGCCGTGTGATGAACTAGATTGTAACAGGCGGCATACGGAACATCATCACATGCACAGACGTGTAGGTGTGGCCGCATAGTCAAATCATAACATGCACAGACATGTAGGTGTGGCCGCATAGGCACATCATCGCATGCACAGACGTGTAGGTGTGGCCACATAGGCACATCATCACAAGCACAGACGTGTAGGTGTGGCCACATAGACACATCATCTTATGCACAGACGTATAGGTGTGGCTACATAGGCACATCATCACATGCACAGACGTGTAGGTGTGGCCACATAGGCGCATCATCACATGCACAGACGTGTAGGTGTGGCCACATAGGCGCATCATCACATGCACAGACGTGTAGGTGTGGCCACATAGGCACATCATCACATGCACAGACGTGTAGGTGTGGCCACATAGGCACATCATCACATGAACAGACGTGTAGGTGTGGCCACATAGGCACATCATCACATGCACATACATGTAGGTGTGGCCCCATAGGCACATCATCACATGCACAGACGTGTAGGTGTGGCCACATAGGCACATCATCACATGCACAGACGTGTAGGTGTGAACGGGGGGGGGGGGGGGGGGCGAGGGCAATTTTTTCACAATTAACGTATCAATCATTGGAAAATAACTCTTTGCATCCTCAGGTGTAAGAATGACTACGTGAACATCTACTCCCAGCTTCAGAAGGAGTCTGACGACTTGCTAGAGGCTGATATCACCGGTCCATTCTGTGGGGAGACAAAGGAAGATCTTCCTAAAGTCGTGGTGTCCACAAAGAACATCCTCGTCATTTGGTTCTTCTCCAATGCAGAAAAGAGCAACAGCGGCTTCTACGGGACCTGGGAATTCATCGATGCAGGTAGGCTTGGATATTGGCGTCTTGGGCTACATGATAGTTTAGGACAACGTTTAGCTTAGTTTTGTTAATTGTTTCAAGGGATAAGATACAGCTCAGACATCAGATAAAATATAGATTTTTTTTTTTTTACCGTACTCCACCAGAACATTATTTCAGTATATTAAATTACCTTTGATCCATTTGGCACACTGTTTTTTTTTTAAAACACGTCATAGGAGATGTAGTGTTTACGTCAATAAACTTAACCCAAAAGATTACTCCAAAATCTTTATACCACCTGCCTTTAGTTTCATAGATTTTTTATAGGTATTCTCTGCACATTAATTAATTAACCTGATCATTTTTTTCAGCCTCTGATAAACTGAACCTTTATAACCATAGTCCAATGTCTGTTTTCTTATATCTATATAATCTTAAGGATACTGGGGGATGATCAGTGTTGAAAAGACGTTGTATTTTTACGTAAATAATTACTGCCTTTTCTTAAAAGAAAGTTATTGATCTAGCCTATGTTCCATGTTCTGTTATCTTTAAAGTTTGTGTCGCATTCATAAGAAATAATTGTTCATATACGGTTATTGACATAGGCTAAATATGAAAGTAGACTATTTTAGCCTGTGCGTTAATTAAGGTAACACATTATTATTGGTAAACTTACTGGGTAAGATCTTAATTATTTATTAAGAATATCATCTTAAACAGAAAATGTTACAATGTTTTTTTAAAATTATAATTCTATCTACCATTTTAATTTTTAATCATTGACCAGTGAAACTACGAATTTTCTAACCATCAATTTCTCTTTAATTAGAATGTTTAACTTTTAAAAAAAAAGTTGTTCACAATGTATAATTTTAATATATATAAAAATAACTTACGTGTTTAAATGTATGACAATGTTATTATGATGTTATTAGTTACCATAACACATAAACGCAGATTTATACGGTGATTTTTTTAATGATACTTTAAATTCAACTTAAGTAGACAAGATTTAAATGTATGTATCCCCTACCCAATGCATCCCCCCTCCCACCGTTATTGAACAGTGTGGATATCCCAAAGTGTCTGCAGTATCTTCTCTTTCAGTTCCCTATGAGATGGGCACAGTTGCACCGAACACATGTGGCTACACGGTGCGCACTGAGCAGAAACCCCGAGGTTACATAATATCCTCCACCTACCCCGGTGTCTACCCAGACAGCTCGTTCTGTTACTACCGATTGCAAGGGAAACCCGGTCAAAGGATAAAATTAACCTTCGAAGACTTTTCACTCTTTTACGGGGGTGAATAGTAAGTCATGAGCACACATTAACTCCCCCATATATAACCATTTCTCACGTGTTTTAATTTAACTCAATTTTTTTTTTTTTTTTTCAAAATTAACCCCACACTTTCTTTTACATTCTTGCAGCTTTATTCATAATTTTCGCTTCGTTTTGGCGGTTTCTAACTTTTGTTTTTCTTGGTTTTTTCATATATAACCATTTCTCTCGTGTTTTAATTTAACTCTATTTTTTTTTTTTTTTTTCAAAATTAACCCCACACTTTCTTTTACATTCTTGCAGCTTTATTCATAATTTGCGCTTCGTTTTGGCGGTTTCTAACTCTTGTTATTCTAGGTTTTTTGGGGTAATCTTGTCTACTAACGCTTCACGTGTATATCTATTAATATAATCTGCTTTTGGAAATCTTTTGGTTTTGACTTGAATGAGAGTGTTTCGGTTACTGGCCTTAGTCACCACTACTAACATAAACAGTGACAGTAGTGTCAGTGTTGTGACAAAACTAACTAGTACTAGGATGCAGTGAATCCTGTGAGCCTTCACATGAGGATGGACTAAGTTAACTTAATAAACTTTCACAATCATTCGGGTACGTTGCTGATCTTTGCCCCGAAATTCAACATGGTTATAAAATACATAGTTTTAACAGTCATATTTGTATGAATCAAACTGAAAGTAGTTTCCTTATAATACGCGAATATAAATTTTTAAAAAAATAAAAAAAATACCCTGGCACAAGGTTTAAAACGAATTAGTGTTTGGGAAGAGCTTTTCATGATTCTGAAAATCACTGTCCACGAAAATATATTTTCATGATTAGAGTTTTCTGATAAAGGAGTTACAGACAAGACCATTTTTAAATAAAAAAAGAGGGCGAATTTTTAATGATAACATCAAAAACCATCAATAACTGGGGAGCACTTAGTTGAGAACTAAACTAACTGGGAAGATACTTTGCAATGGCGTGGGTTCTTTCAGAGCTGAAAGTCATTGCACGAAATGCAGTGACAAATGCCAGGTAAGAATAAGAGTGACCAAGACATTAAATAAGTCGTTTGAATCACAACGCGTAGGAAGATTTGAAAATACATGAAGTTTTCAAAATTAACTAAATCAAGGAGTTTACAATTATTGTCTCAATACGTTCTTATTTTCAAATATTCAACTTGGATTTAAAACTATCAAGTTTTGTTCCAGCGTTATGAAGAAAATAGTATGAAGTTGTTGGGATTTTTTTTGTTGTTTTTTTGGTTTTATTTTTTTTTTTTTGGGGGGGGGGGTGAAAGGGGGGGGGTTTTTTTTATAAACAACCAAACTTTTTTAACTTGGGAAATAAGCTCTGAATCGATTTTAAATTTTTTTTTTTTTTTTTTTTTGTTTTTTTTTTTTTTTTTTTGGGGGTGGGGGTGAAAGGGGGGTGGTATTTCTAATAAACAACCAAACTTTTATAACTTGAGAAATAAGCTCTGAATCGATTTTAAAATTACATCCAGGTCCTCCCATATGTGGTTGGCCAGATTTATTGCGTTGTAATAAAAGATTTTTGTTGAAATTTTACATCAGTATATTATAAACAAATTAACTGTTCATCTCCATTCATAACTAAACGTGCAATTTATGTCTCGGTCACAATATTTACCTGCATGTAAAATTATTTGAATGTGAATGCTGCAGTAGTTACTTTACATAGAGTGACGCTTATAAAAAACCTGCTTTTAGCCTTGGCATTACATGAAGTTGTGACTGAAAGACATTCACATATTACTCATGGGAATTTCATGTGCTGGAATAGCATCATTTTCGTGTGGCATGCATGGTTTTGACTGTTAGTGTTAATCTTAAATTCGTACGCCCTCGTTGTTGTGTAAAGTCATTTCGAACGACTGCATGCAATTAGACGCAAAACCTACTCTAAGTATGTTCTTTTGTGGTGAGTAGATAAATGAAAAAGGTTACCACTAACCACTGATTGATCAGCGCTTTTACTATGGTGAGTAAACTCAAAGCTTTTTTTTTTTTTTTTTACTATCGCCTGATATTTAACGTTAATATTTAACCAGTTTTTAACTTTAATGTTTTCAAACATATTATATTGTTGACGTCAGCTTGTGTCATGTTGACGTACGCATAAAGTTGGTGTTGAATGAAAGAAGTAGCGATGCTACTTGCAACAAACGGCTAGACACAAGTAAAAACACCAACAGCTGCCGGGTTGGATAGGACTCGTTAGCCTACTCAAGTAGGAAATTGTTTATGTTCAACGTCGCGTGCGAAGTACTAACAGTAATGATAGTGTTGTTTAGTTATTAAAAAGGGTTTGTGGAATTACTGAGCGCTAGCTCTATGGAGTAATGTCTCAATAAACAAATTCAAAACACTATGTTTTGTCAATGGATAGATGACACTGGATTCCGTTAGCTTTTTTTTTTTAAGGGGGTTGGGCGTGGGTGTGGGGTTATGATGGGTATTTAGGGTCCATTGGATTTAACACCAAATTTATTCTTATTACCGTGGGGTTATTAACTGATAGTGTCACCAGCCTTGATCCCATAATCCCAAGAAAATTTTGAGAGTGAATGTGATATTAGCATAATTTCTGTGAATAATAATAGCAGTAGAGTTATTTGACAAGTTTGGTAAAAAAAATATATATTTTTCATTCTTAAAGAAAGTGTAAACTCGGAGAAAAATATATTTTAAAAAATGGACTAACGAAGAGCCGATATTAAAACATGTTAAAATTTATATAGCACATCAAACAATAATAACAGTGCTGTTATGGTATATTTTTAAAATAAGTAGGCCTATAGGCCTACATTTTGTTTAATATCAAGGGACAGGGACGAACATGTGTGCCTTCTCTCCAATACACACACACAATGCGTTGAGTGAAGAACCTAGTGTTGTACAAAATAGTTTATGAGTACATTTTCAGTCATATTGATCACATTGGTGTACGAACTGGAGGGGGGGGGCGGGTTGGGGGAGCTATTTTTCTTCTTAATACTGAATGTTGGAATTTTTGTAAACTGCTTAGTTATTTTTTCCATGACAAGGGACGACTAAAATATTGGCCGTATTAACACCAGCTACGCCCCTGATTGAGTAGCCTATACATATTTATTGAATGTTTCGATGTCTGTCTAATTTTTTACTAGTTATCATTTTTATGGGTTTTTTTTAATTTATTTTAATCTTTAGTCCAGGCCTGCACAACATAGGGCCGCATGTGGCCCGCCAGTACCCACTTTGCGGCCCGCGATGTAACAAAATATTCTTTATTCTTATTATTTTGTTAATAGCTTTCCCCCCTTTCCTGTTTTCTTTGGCCCGCACAAGACCTGTCCTATTTTCTTTTGGCCTGCACACGGTTTTCATAAAGTATTACGGCCCACCTTACATTTTGAGTTGTGCAGGCCTGCATTTAGTCTTTCAATTTATATTTAAAGCGAAGTCCTACCCCCCCCCCCTTTTTTCCCAATACAATTTTTGAGTAGGCCCTTATTTTTTACTTAGCATATGCTTTATTCATTAATTTTTTTATTATTTTTTTTGTATGTGTGCTTTTATAATTAACCATTCTTTTAAATACTAAAAGAATAAAAAATAATTAAATGATGTATTTGGATTGCTTTAATGTCATCAAATAAGTTTTTCTTTGATACCCATTTACTTTATTTTAGCCATTTTTATGAAAGGGAAATAATATATAAAATGGGTTTCCCCCTCCCCTCCCCCCCCCCCCATTTCATGCTGAGTATTGCTTCTAAGTGTTAGAACCTTTGATTAACTACGTGATTAATATGTAAAAATGAAAATTTGCAATTCCTTTAATTACATACTCTCAAGCACTAAAATGCATAAAATAAGTTAAATTTATAAAAAATATATCCAAACAGTTGAGTGGCTCATGAAATATTTAGCTTTAAGTTTTGCAAGTAGTTAATCCACTTTTGTTACGTCACAGGTCAAAAGTAAAAATGATGATGAAAAGTGTTGTTGCTTTTTTTATCTATTACTGAAAGTAAATTTGAATTCTCCAAGCACCATTGTAGATACTTCATGGGTCTTAAAATATTTTGGATACATTTTTGTAAAGTAGAATTGTTTTATGCCTTCTTACTTAATTAAAGAAAAAAGGGTCACAATTATTTTTTTGATTTATTTATTTTTCATTTTATAATAAATTTCTGGCATGTCCCAGTTGCATTTTTGCTTCGATAATGACAAGAAATAATAAAAATTCTTTCATAAATTATATACACATAATAGAGGATGTTGAATGGGAAATAAAATTTATATAACCCATCAAGCAAATTGTTGTATGAATTATTTGTTTCACATTTAAATATAAAATAATTTTAATTTTCTATTCTTTATTTTAAAGAATTAATCATTCTCTTTCTAGTTATCTTCATACAGTTCTCTGACTTTAATTCTTTTGCATTTGTTTACTCAGATATATCAAACTATTCACTCTTAAAAGTCTGACTAAATCTTGTTAAATTTTGTAATGATTGTTTATTAAAAAAATAATTCAATAATGTTAAATAAGATGTGTGTGGTTAAATATATTAAATACAGCTGTAAATATATTTACTAACAATGCAGACTCTGTAGCCCTGTTTTATAATCAAGCTTGCTTTAAATGGAAAATAATTAATAATGATAATTTCTTCTATGCAAAGTAGAATCAGTAGTTAAAATACTCTGTGGATTAACATCTGTAAAATGTTATTAGTGAAGATTTGGGTTTTTTGTTTCCTCTTGGCTTATTTAAATTACAAAACTCAAGAATCCTTTTTGCTAGATATTCAGCTTGATTAAGATAATTGAAAATTTCATTATTTCGAAAGATCCATTTAAAAATTCTATAATGAAATTTAAGGAAATAAATATTATAAATTTTATTTATAATACTCATATTGAATTTTATTTTTCTATACCAATTTTGCTTATTTGTGTCTTTGCTTTATGCTATTATTGAAAATCTTTACCAACTATGCAAAAAGTTACAGTAAAATCACTGGAATAATTTATTATTTATTTCTTAATTTTAACTCAAAATTGTACCTTTTTTTTTTATCAACAGCTGTCCATTTGATTATTTGAAAATTTATGATGGTCCGGCAAGTGACGCACCTGTCATCGGGAAATTCTGTGGCAGCTTTAACCGATCCACTGTAATATACTCCACTAAAGAGAATTTACGGTTGGAATTTATTACAGGTGAAGGCAGGTTAAATTTCATAGCACCTCCAATGGAAGCTGCTGCTGACTACAAGTTTGAAAGGAGAGGTTTTAACATATCATATGTCTTCAGTGATCGGTTTGTGTCTTTAGGTAAGTCATTCAAGGGTTAAAAGTTAAGTCTTTCAAGGGTTAAAAGTTAAGTCTTTCAAGGGTTAAAAGTTAAGTCATTCAAGGGTTAAAAGTTAAGACATTCAAGGGTTAAAAGTTAAGTCTTTCAAGGGTTAAAAGTTATCTAACTAAGGAATGAAAAGAGAATCTTGATACAACCTTTATATTTTATAAGTAATTTGAATTTTATTTTATTTTTTTATTTTTTTAGTGTTCCCCTAGACGTACTGCAATACTGATAGACTTGGCTAAGATTTTATTTATTTACCTTTGTCTCAATCATATAAATTAATTGTGTTGGTTAATCTAGTAATGACAGTAGCATGAAGTTACTTAATAGTCTGCTATGTTCCATTTTTTGTACTTTCCCCATAAGCATTTAATGTTTAAAAAGTACAGAGCCTTAAAATTGTCTTCAGATGATCATTTCATCAAAGAAGGAGCAGAGCATGTGTCAGGAACAGATTGTGATCAGAGAATAATGAGTGGGAAAGAAACAAATGGAACGTTTGTCTCCCCTGGGTACCCAGCTATGTTTCCTGAAGGTGTTGTGTGTCGATACTACTTAGACGGTCTGATGGATGATCAGTACTTGGAGAAAGTCAAAGTATCATTTTTTGACTTCAACATACCCGGAAATATGCCATAGTAAGATGATAGATAGAAATTAATTAAAATTTGGGATTCACATGTGCTAGTTATCATCACCATCATTAATGGTATTATGGGCCATAGAGGACTCTGGCCTTCATTACCACTCTACTCTGACCAGTCCATGGGCTTTTGTCTCCATGCACAAAATCCCAGCTCATGAAGATCTTTATCCACATAATCTATATTCCAGGTCACAATCCATTAAAGCTCTCTGTGAAGCTGCTTTGGTTTTGGGTTTATTCCCAAGCCTCTGTAAATCTCTTTTGTCTTTACTGGTATTTCATTTCCACCTGAACCCACCACCTGTACCCACCACCTGTACCCACCACCTGTACCCACCACCAGTACCCACCGTCTGCACCCACCTGGTGGGTATTTCATATTTCCAACCTTGGACTGTGCTTTATAGCAGAGCAGCAGTAGCTATGATAGATTCAACCTATAAACAAGTATCACTTATTATGTTGTCGTATTAGTTTTTATTTTTTCAACAAAAAAATTGTTTATCTTAACTGCTTAAGTAATTAACTTATGTTCCGAATAATTCTAATCAATAAGTTATCAATACTTCTATTTTCAGTTGTTTACTTGGTTACCTGGGAGAAAATGAAGACATGCGGTTGAGCGAAGGGACTGTGAGGAACAAGTATTGTGGCAGCTTTAATCCTCCAGCGATCACAAGTGGAGGTCCAAGAATGGTCATCACGCTCAATACAACAGGTGCAGTTAAGGGTGGGAAATTTGTGGCCAGATACCAGTTTATAACAGGTAAAGTAAATCTCCCTAATTTATCTTTAACTTATGTGTATGATAATAAAAAAAAATTAAACGCTTCTAAAATTATCTCTTAAGTTCTCAGATTGTATTAGAAGTTAACTTACCTTCTTGATTAAACACATTAATTTATTATGATGACGTAATGACATTTCACATTTATTTTTGTTTTAAAAACTAAATTGGATAATTTTTATATTTATTTTTTTTAAATATAGAATATATTTTATTTGTTTTTTAATCAATTTTCCTTTGCAAGTGTTTCAAAAATTCTAATTGTTTTTATTTTAAGTCAAATATTAACTTGACTGCTGTTTGACTGACTGTTTTGGGTGGAATAGAAGCAAACATAAACTAATGAAAAAGAAACATCTTGATGAATGGTGTGTTCATTCATTTCTAAAATTTATTGATTTTTTTTTTCAATCTGAAGACTTTGGCATACCTGGTACACCAATAACAGATGGAAAATGCAAATTTCACTACAACAGTGCCATAATGAAGAATGGTGAGATTAACTCTCCTCGACATCCAGGCAACTACGCTCTCAATCAGGACTGTGAATACATCTTCCGTCCGCTTTTTGATGAAGTTGTGATCATCAGCTTCTCAGTGTTCCATCTATCTTCACAAGACAGCCCACCGTATGTTGTTATCATTGGATTAGTTGGATAGGTTTATGTTTTTGGGCTTTTCATTCAGGATTTATTTATTAATTCATTTTTGTTGAAAGGTGTAACAGAATTCAACAGAATAAATGGTAAAATTATGTAGGGTACACGAACATTGGTTCAAAGCATGAAATGATCATACATTTTCTTTATAATGCTTTATAGCTACTGCTTATACAAAGTTTCTGTCATTTCATGTATTTTTAAGCATTCCTAATATGCTATGATTTAATAGCTTAATATATATTATATGATATCTTAGTCTTAAATGAAAAAAAAATACAAAAAAACAGGTAGCACACTTCAAGACTAAATTAATTCTTCTTCTATATCTTAAGGGCCCACGATCAATTTATTGATCATTTTGGCTCCTATGCATTTTGGGTTAATTCCCAAGCCTTCTATAATTTGATGAAATTATAAGTTTATTTTTCTGTGTGAACTTATTTAGATGTGTTAATTTTGTATTTCATTTTATCCTAGTCTCTGATAGATGACAACCATTGATTAGTAGGCTACATATGACAATTGGAAATTTTAATTCGGTTTTCCTTATTTTCACCGCTAAATACCATTTTATCCTCAGTTGTAATGCTGGTGGAGACTACGTAGCTTTCTACGAGGATCTTGGAACTTTAAACAGGGAAAATTTTACCTTAACAGAAAAATATTGTGGAAAATATTACCCAGGACCATATGCAACAACTAGATTGCTCAAATTGGTTTTCTTCTCAGATGAGAGGGAAACATTTCCTGGTTTTAAAGCCACATATAAATTTGTCAAGAAACAAAACTTAAGTGAGTAACATATTTTAAAGATTTTTTTAAAGATTTTTTAGATTAAAGGCAAATCTCAAACTGTTTTTTCATTTTTTAAATTTTTTTTCTTGATGGTCAGATATAAGAAATAAATTTCTTTGCTTAGATACTCAGTTGATTTTCTTTTTTTTTTTTTTATTCAAAAAAAAAAATACTTACAATTTTATGAAAGAAATTTCTAAACGTCAGCCTGCAACAAGAGAATTTTTGTTTTTCTTAAACTGTTTTTTCATTTTTTAAATTTTTTTTCTTGATGGTCAGATATAAGAAATAAATTTCTTTGCTTAGATACTCAGTTGATTTTCTTTTTTTTTTTTATTCAAACAAAAAAATACTTACAATTTTATGAAAGAAATTTCTAAACGTCAGCCTGCAACAAGAGAATTTTTGTTTTGCTAGAGATGTCCTGGGTATAGATCACATGCAGGCTGTCAAGTCCTGATCTGTAGAATTTTCCATGACCCACTTTTTGTTATGACTGAAATGTCTTTTGCATTTCAATTATACTCAGCCAACCTTGTATGCCACAGATCTATAGGAATTATATAATTATTTTCTCTAATTAAAACAGATGAAATTATGTTATTTCCAAATTAGATGCATTATTGTTATAATAATATTTAAATCATTTATTGTATAAATTGTTTAGCTTTCAAAGTTATGGATTGACACCTTTGGCCCGAAAACTAGTTCACACTATGGTCATTGCCCTTTTACCCAAAAAGTTACCTTATATGAACCATTTCAATATTATTGATTATATAATAAAGATGAAGATGAGCTGTTTATTAAAGCTTGGAGACATTCTCAGAAAATATCTCGCCGCCTGTTCCTCAGGGACTACCAGTTCTTTGTAATAATTGCTTTAGTTAATCCTGTTGTCTTTTCAGCATGTCCCACACACAATAATCAGATCAGTGGAAGAGGGACAGGTGGGGTCATTGTGAGTCCAAGCGTCTCTGGTAAATACATGTCTCAAGTTTGGTGTGAGTGGGTCATTCATGCCAGCAAGAGAGAAAATAAAATCCTAATTGAAATCTCAGAGCTCAGCATAGAGGGGGTATTCATGAAAGGTGCAGAAAGATGTGAGTATATAAATTACTTAAAAAACAAAATGTGTAGAGCACATTTAAATATTTTAGGCCTTATCTTTATAAAAGAGACTTGTACATTATAGTGTAAAATAATGATATTTTAAGTAAGTCAAATTCCATGAGTATATGTGCTCCAAATACGTGATATTATATGGTGGACATTCAAACATTGTGAAGTAAATAAATAGTGAAACAAGATATGTTTAGGCTTGAAAAAAGACTGAACAATTGAAAGGATGTTTCAGCTAAATGCCTCTCAGCAGACAATACATATCTTCATCTCAATTATAAATGTATATCTTCATCAGAATTTTGTTAAACTTTCTGAATGTATTCCTTAGTTCAACAAGAGTCATAATTAAAAGATATGCTTACCTATTTAAGACTTTCTACATGGACTAGTGCTAACATTTATCTTTTTCTGTTTACAGTAATAGTATTTAATGGCTGTTACTATCAATTATTTAAAGAAAAATTTAGAATTATCAGCAAACCATATAGTTAATATACCTACTTTACAGATCTAATAATAAATAAAATGTCTATAATTATTAACCCTTGTGTTCCATTAAAATTTATTAACATTCTTTTCTATGTACCTAACACATGCTAATATAATGGAGTTATACATTAAAATATTTCTTTCTTTTATTTTTCTCCTTTCATAGCAAATTGTGAGGTAGCTGTTTTACGGCTGTATGATGACAGTATGGGGGTTAGACCTTCAGCTGCTGTTTGTGGTATGAAAAAGGTCACTGACATCACACAATCTTATTTATCATTACAAGATTCTTTTAAAATTTCGTAAGTATTTTGTGAAGTAGCTACAAGCTTTTTGCGTTGATGAGTTTTGAGTTGAATATTATGTTAACAAGTTTTTTATCAAGAAAAGTAATTATATAATCATTTTTGTAAATAGCTAGATGTTCTTTCTTTTTTTTTAGTGAAAGAGAAATTGTATTTTAAATATATATATATTTTTTCAAAATTATTCTTTTGCATGTCTTTCTTCTATTTTAATATGAATAACAACTTATTTTTTTAATGCTCAGAATTGTAATTTTCTTTATTTTTATTATTTTAAAGATTAAATTGTTTCCATGAACCTTGCACGCAAATCATTCTAAACCTGCATTACAAAATGTCTTGTACATAAGAAGCTGAAAAATCTGTTTACTTTAGTGAAAATATATAAAAAAGAGACACTTTTATTGCCTATATATATATTTTATTCTTTACAGATTTTTAACATCAGCAGCATCTTTAGGTGCAAAGGGATTTAAAATTTCCTGGACAGAAGTCCACATCGGGTCATCCCCAAGTGAGCATTATGGTCTGTTTGGCAATGGTTTTTAGTTTAGATTGAGATTTCAAGTTCCTTTTTTAAAAAATGCTTTTCAGTTTTTTCTCAATTCTACCTTTCTACTTACTTGCCAACCTTTACAGTTTACCAATACTTTGTACAGTTTTTGTACATTTTCCGAGGTGTATCGTCATATGGGCTTTTGTACAGTTTTTTGAACATTTAAAACTGGTGGTGCAATGAATTCAATGTTGGAAAACGAGAATCTTAAATATTATTTCTCATTTCAAAATGACCAAAAGAGGATCAGTAAATTTAGAAACAATGTCGTTTCATTGATATCATTAGTTAATACTAAGACAGTGTTATACTATAGAAACTATTTTGAGTGCTAAATCATTATTTGCGTAATTCTAAATAAAAAATGCATTGTTAGTAAGTGTTCTTTTAATTTATAGTAAATAATTAAATAAATTTAAAAGTACTATCACTCAATGACTAACATTATCATTATTCCTATTTATTACAATGGCATAACTTGATTACTATGGTACAGTAAAAAATAATGTTATAAGCTGAAGGTAAACTCAATAACTTTGTCAAGATGGAAAAACTTTATTTACATTGTTCATTTGAATACAGGAATCTGTATTACTAAATGGTACAATATTTAACAAAACACTTATGTCTAATTACAACTATCATCATCATCATCGGTGCTAAAGCCCATGTAGGGTCCTGGCCTGCTCCGCCACATCCTTCCGATCGATCCATGGCTTTCCGCCTCCATGTGCGAACCCCCAATTGATGTAAATCCTTTTCTACATCATCGATCAATCTCAGCCTTGGGTGACCGGTGAGTCATCTGGCCCTAGGCTTCTGCCTGTAAATCACTTTTGCTGCTCTACAATCCGGCATCCTTTCAATATGTCCTGCCCAGCGCATATTGTTGCCGCTAAGGGTGGGTCTCTGTACAATTGGTATAGCACCTGGTTTGTAGGGATTCTCTAGACATCATTGTCTAGCACTGGATCATATATTTTCATAGGATATTCCTCTCCCATGTATTGAGCAGGTTCTCTGGTTTTCTGGTAAGGGACAAGTCCACTAGTGCAAGTTACTACTTGTCTTAAAATAGTGGCATATATTGTCTTCTTTGTTCCCCTTGAGAGGTGTTTGCTTCCCAGTAGCTTTTGTAAAATGAAATAGGAACGGTTGCCTGCTGTTATCCTTTGATACAATTATAGTGCTGTCAAGTTCAACATATGTCCATTTTTAACAAATTGTCATTGAGCAGATTAAAAATAATCAAAATTTGTCAAAAAAATCGGACTTATAACAACGCATTCTTTCATTTAAAGATGTGATATATCCATTTTTGAATGATGTAAAAAGGGGACCCCATTCATTTTTGTATGCATTTAAAACGTTTATAAAAATTATGAAAAAGTTATAAGATATACTCTTTTCTACATTTCTTTTTTTCTTTACAGTTTTCCATGTTGTTGTAAACTTTGTTTTTTCTACTTTTTGTACAGTTTTTTCAATTCCACAGGTTGGCATGCATGATTTTTGCCAACATAAAAAAGAAAAAAAAAATGTGCACTTTAATTCAAAGAATATACCATGTAAGAAAAAAAGTTGTTCCATGCAGATACTCCAAAATCCTTTAAAGAAAAATTATTTATTTTCCAGTTTTATCATTCACACGAAGTATAAAACTATATATCTTAATATGAGTTTGTTTGTGTTGATAATTTGTGATTTACATTGTATTGTTATGTTTGAATACTGTAACTTATTGTATGTTTATCTAGATTTGCAGTTCTTTTTTATTTTTTTTTGCTGAAGATTTTTATTTAGCATTAAAGTTTTTAATGCAGTACAAAAAATATTAACACAAAATTATAAAAATTATATTAAATATTAATAATTAATCTAATTGCCTCTAAAATGTTTTATAATGTAACATATGATTTGACTTTAAGTCCATCCATCCATCCCTGTGGCGCTAAAGCCCATGTAGGGCTTTGGCCTGCCTCACCACTTACTTCCACTCAGACCTAACTAATGCCTTTCTTTTCCATGCTTTTGGACTTTCAGCTGTTGTAGATCTTTTTCCACATCATCCATCCATCTAAGCCTGGGTCTGCCTTTGAGCCTTTTTCCTCTGGGGTATTGGTGATGCACCCTTTTCGTTCCTCTGTCATTTGGCATTCTCTCTAAGTGTCCTGCCCAGCGTAGCCTGCCTCTTATTATCTTTTCTACTATCGTGGGATCCTGATATAGACTGTACAATTCATGGTTGGTTCGTATTCTCCATCCATATTCATCCTTTGTTGGTCCATATATTTTCCTGAGACCTTTCCTATCCCATGTGTTTAATAGGTTTTCTCCTGTTTTTGTTAGGGTCCAAGTTTCACTTGCATATGTTACAACTGGTCTGATTACAGTTTTATAAATAGTTTTCTTTGTTTGTCTTGTAATGTTTTTACTTTTGAGTATTTTCTGACTACTGAAGTATGCCCTATTTCCGGCTGATATTCTTTCTTTTGTTTCTGTTAGTAATTCATTTCTTTCATTTAACAAAGATCCTAGGTATTTGAATTGATTTACTTTTTCAAAATCTGGTTTCTAATTGTAATTGCTTCATCTGTTTGTTCTTCTCTTATCATGGTCATGTATTTTGTTTATTGGTTGTTAACTTCCAGCCCTGCTTGTAGTGATGCGTCTTCTAATTCAATAAAGGATATTGATATGACTTTAATACTTTTCCTTAGCAGTGCTATGTCATCAGCATATGCAAGATATTGAAGTGGTTGGTTGTAGAGTGTGCCCGTTGGTTGTGAGTGTTGAGTTTCCCTCAGGAAGTATCCTGTTATCGTTCCTTGAGTGTCTATGTATATGTTTCTCATAACTCTCTCTAATGTTAGGTTAAAAAGCATACAAGACAGTGAGTCTCCCTCTCTTAGGCCTCATCTAATCTGAAATTCCCTTGAATATTCTCCTTGAATCTTGATTTTGATTTTTGAGTTGTTTAGTGTTACATGTATTAGTCTTGTCAGTTTGTTGGGTATCCTAAACTCCTGCAGAGTCTCATATAGATATTTTCTTTTGATGCTGTCATAGGCCATTTCATAGTCCACATAGAGTTGATGTACTGGTATATTATATTCATTGCATTTCTCTACTAGGCATCTGATGGTGAAATCTGATCAGCCGTTGATAATGTAACTTATTATTTGAGTTTAAGTGGAAGGTGGAAAAAGTGTGAGTTTACATTGCTAAAATTTAAACTGCTTAAAAAATACATGTGCCATCTTTTAAAGTATTTTTGACTGCTGAAACAAAGCTTATTTCTTTCTAATTAAACTATTTTAATTATTCATATTATTTCAGGTGGGGATTGCTCAGGATTCCAGTGTGTGATAAATAAATTTTGTATTGCGCCTACACTTAAATGCAACAAAGAACCAAACTGTGGGCAGGGAGATGACTCTGATGAAACTGCTGAATGTGAGTTACACTTCAAGTGACAATTTTTTTTTTTAAATCCTTCTTTGTTGTTATTTGATTGTACAATTGTGTTGTTGTTGTTTTTTTTAATCAGACTGCTAGAGTTATTAATTATATTTGTAAAAACAGAAATGAATTATTTTTTTAAATTCAGAAATTCAATTTAAATTTTGATTCATCTTTTTAAATAAACTATGAGAAATTTACCTTAAATATCTCTGATTTCTAAATTAAATTATCACTACTATCAATGTCACATTCAATGAAGACAATTTTAAAATTAGCTTATCAATAGACTCTGGCATGCCTGGTTATTTTTCTGTTTTTGTGTGTGTTTTTTTGTGTTGTGCTTATTCTTTTTTTGTTTTGTTTGTTGTTTTTTTGTGACAGTTCTATCAATCTTATAAGAATTAATGCTTAGGCTAAATTAAATTTACATTACCACATATATTTGAAGAACATTATTTTTGCATGCTCTTGTTTTCCTGTCTAATTTATTGCCACCCCAATTGTATATTGTATCACAAAAGCAGATGTTTATAATCAAATACCAAAATAGCTTTTTTTTTGGGGGGGGGGGAGACATTTTTTTTCTTCTCCATTAATTTCACATCAAAGCATAATAATTAGAATTTTAACTATAATGACATTAAATTTCATTAATATAGGTACCTTGTTGAAAAACTTCTGCTTTTTATAATATTAATGTGCAGAGAAGAGTCTATTTATTTTCCCTCTTAGCTGCAATAACTGACCTTTACCCAGAACTTAGTTTAACTTGTATTGTTGTTCTCAGTGATTTTTTTTTTTTTAATTATTTTATTTCTACCTTTAATTTTTAGGTTCTGGCCTATGTTTGGGAAGTGATATGTTCAAAATTTGTCTTCTTTTTCTTATTGTTTTATTTTACCAAACATACCATTTCCAACTATGAGGAGATGGGGGAGGTAAGACAGCTTGTAACAAGCTGCATGATATTCCTAAACAGCCTTGATAGCACGCATTGGATTTCTTCTGAATGTTTTAAACAATTGACCTTTTCTCTTTTTGCTAAACAGCACTTTGCGTATGTTAAAATGAACATTAAAAAAATACATTAATTTTCATATCTTAACATTATTTATATGTATGCCTAAATTTGTTTTACTGTTGTTCTCTTTACCTTATTAAATTAAGTAATAAAGTATTAAATTTTTTAAACACATTATTAAGGTTTCCAAAATGAAATTAAAAAATATTTGTTTTATTTACATATTCAAAGATGGGGGTCTGATCAGCAGCTTTAAAATTCCTTTCAAGCATGTCATCTAAACCAGAATATTAAACACACTATTAAATAGCTTAAACTTCATATAAATTTTTTACATTTATTATAGTTTAATAGAAATTATTCTTTGCATTAAAAGAAAGAATTTTATGTTAAAATTGTAAACTAAATGCTGGTTGTATTCTGTGTTAACATATTAATAATTATTTATTGATTGGCAGCTTACTTACTTTTGGAAAGGATAACATTGTATGTGTTTATTCATTCTCAAGAAATGCTTTGAAAAAATAAGTTTTATTTTAATTTTAAATGTATCTGTTGTTTGTTGTATTGTATTGTATTGTCTGCTGAAAAAGGCATCTAGCAGAAAGTGTCCGCTTAATTGTCTTGTCTTTTATTTTCACGCCTAAACATATCTTGTATCATTACTTATTTACTTTTGCAAAGCAGGCATCCGCATAGTTGGTATGTATTTATTAGTAAATACATCTTTCTTTTTTTTACGAACAATTTCATATGTTTTTAGAAACATAAGCATTACTTCTCTAACAGCTGTAATATAGCTAAGTTAAAAGAACTATTCTAACAAAAAAAATCAGAGTCTTACTTTATCACTCATTTTTTTCTTCTGTGCCAATTTTCTTGTAGCATTCACTCTATTTTATTATAGAATCAGATCCCTTCAACAAAAGGCAAAGGTGTTAAAGCATATAATCTGGCTCTTCTATTTTTTTAAAATATAATTTTCCAGAGGGCACTTACATTTTGCTAAATTAGATTGCATAAAAATTTCTGATTTCTATTCTCTTCTCTACTTTCATAATAAAAATAAACCAACAAAAACGTCATCTTCATTACCTGTCCTGTCTCAGACTTATGTAGCATTCAACAAGAACTATGTCTTATCATCACCAGATAAAATTCATCATTAAATGCAACATTAATTTGATTATTCTACCTATCATTGATAAATTACATGAGATAAGTGAGAAAGCATTGCCACCGATAAATGTAACAGTAACATGTCACTCCCACTTGAATTAAACCCATTACAAAAAGTAACCTTGATTTTTGAGCATGCTTTACAATTTTTTTTAATTTTTTTTTGGTCTTCTTTTCAAATAGTAATCTTTCATTGACCCTTAGAAAGTTTAAGTGTTATAGGCCATGGATGAAAATGTATATATATTTTGTTTCTATATATCACATGCTTTAGATTAAAAATAAGATATTTATAATTGTAATGTCTTTAAAAACTAAACAAATTACATCAGTATTAACTTCATTGTTTTGGTAATAATTTAGCTAACTGAAATCAGATACCACTGATACCAGTAAATAACTCTATTTAAAAATATATATTAAAATATTCATACATTGGTTGATAAGTCATGAACTTGCATAAAGGCTTATACGTTTTTGAAAAATAAAAAATAAAAAAATGCATGTTTTAGCGGCGACAAGAAGATAACATTGAACTTCTAGTAGTTCTAGTAAGTTCAAGAGAGAATAGTATATAACATTGTCATGTCTTGTGAGCAGATGGTTAATTAATGGTTATTAAAAGTCTAGCCAAATACTCTTCCTCAAATTATACAGCAAAGTATTCATTGATTTTTTAGTGTAAACCCAACTATTATTATATTATATAATTGTTATTAAAAGTCTATCCAAATACTCTTCCTCAAATTAAACAGCAAAGTATTCATTGATTTTTTAGTGTAAACCCACCCCCCCCCCTTTTTTTTTTCCTGTCTACTAAAGCAATACACATATCAAATTAATAAATACATTTTAAAAAATCTTAAGTAACACTAATACAAAAGTTCCCAATTCATCAACATAAAGTTATAGCATTATGAAATGTATTGTTAAACGTGTTCAAATATTGTTCATTTTTAGGTCCAAAGTCGTCCGGCATCCAAATTCTTCACATTGCCATTGGAACCTCCATCTCTTCATTCTTCTGCATCATTTTACTCATCTGCGGATTTTACCACCGTAGAAAGTTTCGCTCGGACAGAGCTCCTCCAGACCATGACCACGTTGAGGTTCGCTATGTGTCTGCTCCAACAGGCTGTAACACAACAGATCGCCTGCTCATGGAGGACAGAAATGATGTGGGCAATGATCACCACAACAACAGCACCACACAGAGTCCACGCTGTCAGAAGGTGTCCATGGTATGACACAAGATCAACTGCTTTATTTTTTAGTAATATTATAGGTCTTATCTAAGAAGTTATGTAAATTGATATGTATACATGTCATTGCTACAGCTATTGTAATGTATTGTTTGTCTCATTTACTCAATCCAGTGATTCTCAGTATAATATATTATGGAGTACTAATTTTGTGTTATTATATCTTAAATGTTAAACTAATGTTCATTATTTCAAGATTGATAATTATGCCCTTTTACAAATTAAGAATATTTCACAAAACTGTCTTTGGGTAACAAGCACCATGTCCTATAAGTTGAGAGCCACTTGTTATTTGTTTATGACCTCACATTAAACAGCTCATTGGACCCACACATCTTTTCAGCACCTCTAGATTCATGATATCACTCTTGTTGATGTGATCAGGATATCTTCTCATGCTTAAAATGGTTGACCTGTTTTGGTTTGATGGCAATGTTTAGTTTGTTAATTTGATTGTATGCAACTCAAATATCTTGCATAATATTAGACTCATAAGAATGAAAATGTAATCTGTTGGTGGCATCTTTTCTATAATATTTAAACTAATACATTAAGATGCCCCATGTGACTAAATGATAAAAAATATTTTCAGTATTTTGTGAATGTACACAGAGTCATAAAAGCCTTGATTTATCATGGTGGGCGCTTTTTACTTTAAAAATGTAATAATTGTGACTTATTAACTTAATAATTTTGAATCTATCAGCGCAATGGATTTGTGAACTATTGTTATTTGTTTGTAATAAATTGGCTTCTGATGAATTCAAATCCTGTGGGAGTGGTGTTTTTTTTTTTTTTTTTTTTTTTTTTTTTTTTTTGTTATTTAAATTTTGTTTTCTTACATTTTTTTTTTTTTTTTTTTTTTTTTCTTTTTTTTTTAGTGGCAATTAAATCAGTGGTTCTCACAATGTTTTATTTCTTTGAAAATTCTAAATAATCCTGATAACCGTAGTACAAACAATTACACTTTAAAGGTATTGATACACCTGAAAGTGTAAATTTTTCTATAACAAATAAAAAATCAAATGACACTCTTATATTTGTAGTCCTAGGGACCATAAAGAAATGAAATTTGAGAACCAATGATTTAAATGTTAATCATAGCTTTTTTTACTTCACTATGTAATGATTGCTTACTTCATTATGTCATGATTGCTTACTTCATTATGTAATGATTGCAAGTGGTCTAACATTGCCCAGCTCCACACAACTGACTCCAACTGTCAACATTTCTGTTATACCGCTGTGATGAACAACGAATTTTCCAATACCTCAGACCCTTGATCATGTAGTTGTTTAAGACATTGAGTTTTGGAGCTCATGATCTTTACCATCTTCTGTTTACTTTAGAAAAATGTGGCTTTTTCAATCCTGAATATTTGGGAATTAACTGTTTTAATCCTAACATTTTAGCATTGTGTAGCAAAGACCCAAAAATAATTGCATTTTTTTTAGTTATTTACATTTATTTTGTTTAACTTAAAGTTTTAAGATATTGAGCTTTTATGATATAGGTTTGAGCATTTATGATTTTTAGGTAATAAACCAGAAATGTTTGGGATTTTATAATGCTTCTGTCATTAGCTAGATGTGATAATATGTTTATCATTGCTTTTGTAAGTAAAAAAAAAAGAAGAAAGCAAAGTTCTTCTTTGTAACCATATTTTTCATAATTATAGTTTTATTGCCTTAGCCAGAAGGAACCTACAGAGACCAAAGCTTAGCTAAAAAGCTATTGAGATAATCATTAATATTTAAATGGATAAGATTCATCTATGATTATGTAAAAGTTTAGCTCATATTTTATCTTTTTAATACTTTTATAAACAGCCTAAAAATATAACAAACTATTTTGTTAAAATTATATTGAAATTTCTTAGGGTGATATTGATAATCCATAAAAAGTAATGCTATTTAAAATTGTATTACGGTAATGAAAATCTTTTACAAGAGTTGATTGAAATGCCAGTTATTTTGAATATGCCTACCTAGGGAAGTATAAAGCTAAAACTGAGTGGTGCTTGTCAATTAAATGCTGCCCTAATCCCCCGCACCCACCCCCACTATCATGTGTTTATATTCTGATTCGTTATGTTCATTTAAAAGATAAGATATATAACAGAATCAGTAGACTGTATAAGTTGCCTCATCTGTGGAGCATCACATCATCAATTTTCATTAGCATAAGTGACTGTGCACTACAGAGACAAACTTGACATAAGAACTTGACAACCTGAGTGTGGCAGATTTACTTGGTGATATGTTGTGAGCGTCTGACTGTTTTTTTTTTTCTTTTTGTGTGTGTGTGTGATATAATAATTAGTTTTACTGTTCCCATACTGTGATCTAGCTCAGTGCATCAAGTAAGTTTTAGTGTGACCCAGTTTTTACTTAGGTAAGTTTCTGTGCATAATTCTATTTCTCCTTGTGTTATTTCATAAAACTATTGGGTTTCAATGCTATTTTTGAGTATTTAGGTTTCTGTTAGTGAGTTCAATCTGTGTTATTGTAAAACTTTTCATTAATAGTACCAGATGGCTGAGAAGCAAGCACTGATTGCTGAAGAAAGCAATGTTATCATCCTTTGTACAGACCAGCATGTGCATCTTCATATGACACCATTCTGTATTTATGTACATATAAAAAGATGTCTCATACTTTGGTGAGGAATAAGAGAAGAAACTATAATTTTTGTGTTACACTTATATATTTTCTGAATAGAAACTTTTGGAAGCATTATGGGAAATTTAAACTGTGGTTCATATAACAATCAAATCAAAGAGCAAACTCTACAATCTAGTTATATTTGTGGACCATTTTTTTTTTTTAAAAATATATTATTTTAATAACTGTAAACACAGAAAAATGAAGCTGCTAATAAAAATCTGTTTGCCTTAAAAATATTAAGTTCAAATTTTATAAATTTTGAAAGTAGGCTACATGGTGATTCCAAATGTCTCTCTTTGGAAGTTTATAATCATCAGGACCCCCGTCCTCCACAGTGGTCTGTCAACTTTGAATTCAGAACCACTGATCTAATAGGAGCATATGTTATTATATTTTAATACAATATAGGTCTTAAAACATGTCTGACGATCCAGTCTTTTAATACTGGTCAGAACATGAATTCTGTAATAGGTTCTTCTTAAAGAATTAATTTTTTTTCTATTTTCTGGCTGCATGAATGCTATGAAATGAAACATGAAAATGTATACATGGCTTGTAAAAATGTATACATGGTTTTTATAGCTCTGTATTTATTTTATCAGTTGAACATGTTTCAAAGTTGTACAAAAATAAATATGTCTGTTTGTGAGTCAGCATTTAAAAAGAAAAATGTTATCAATTACAATTTTAAAGCATTCATTTAGGAATAAGTTTTTAAGAAATTACATAGAAGTTAGTCCAATTTTACATTATTAAAAGGTTGATAAATTTAAATTCCAAATCTTTATTTTTCAGAATTAATACAGATTGTTTTTCATTAATTTGGAATTGATGAAAGTGCATCTTTTTGTTATTCAGCCTAGCTCACTTTTGAATCACCTCATAAATTTGAGGAAGTTCATGAAACCCATATTGACAATGTTAAAAGTAGCTGAGGCAGCGTTCAATTTCAGCTCTATTCATCTAATCACAAGGATGTCATCACAAATGCTCTATTGATTTGCCTGGGCATTGAAAATGCCCACAAGACAAACACACACACACACACACAATAAATGTGCACAGAAAAATCTGTGGAGACATAACTGCACTCAAGAAAGAAAATGGTGCACACCAATAAATGCATACAATGAAAATCTTGCACACAGACAATTTCGAACATAGACAATTGCTAACACTGCCAATGCAAATTAAAAGAGTTGAAATGGTTTGTTTGGTTATTAGCATGGAAGACAAGTTGGTAATTATAAAAGGCTTTGAATAATTATTTTAAGAAATTAAAGACAAAATATGGTTCATCTCATATCAGGAATTTTTTTATAACTCTACAAAAACATAATACTAATATTATGTAAATACAAAATATTATGATTTATTACAGTAAATGTTAAATTTGTGTTAGGCAAAGAAGACATATTTTTTCTACGAAATTGAAAATAATTCTCCTATAAAAGATGTTTCTGATTTAGACAATGACACATCATTAGAATCTTATACCAATTCAGAGAATATTACTTAAGCTTTAAGTTATACTCATTATCATCAGCAAAAGTTTTGACTAAATTTTTCGATCCATAGACTACGTCTAAGTGTTATAGTCCTACTCCTAAGCCTAAATCCTAATTTAGTTTTCTTTATTAAGTTTGTTTGCATTTTTCAAACAATCCTTAGTAAATATCTTTAAAATGAAGATGGTATCTTATGATTAATTTTACCTTTATTAAACTTTATTTGAAAACCACCAATAATAGCCCTTAGAAAATAAAAAAAAATACTAAATCTTATTTCCACCATTTAGAATTAAGACAGTTTGCAATTTGCAAGGCATACAGCTTTGGTACTTAATTATTATTTTTTAAATGTAAATTTTATCATACTGTCCGATTTATTCATAGCCTTTTCTGTGTCCTAACTTGCTTTTATGCTGATAGCAAAGTGAATGTCCATGTGTGCTGAATTTTTGGTTACACATTTGTCTCTGTGTGTGAATGTCAATGTGCACAGTTATGTCTTTGCAAGATTTTTGCATGTTTATTGTGTGGGCATTTGTGTTGTTGGCATATGTCAAGAGCGTCCTGCTCAGTAACGCTTCAGCAGATATTAATGTCGGTCACCAATGTACCATACTATTCAAAACATCATCTCATACTATTCACCTCATACTATTAGCTACATGCTTTCCAAGAAAATTTTGATTTTAGACTTGAATATATTCTGATTCACTATTTGTTGGTATATGTTTGTACTTAAGAAATCTTAGTAGTCGATTGAGGATT